TATTATTACGTGCTTATGATAGATAAATATACGATGGAAAATTGTAACCTTGTGTTGAACTCAGTACGATCACCATTGCAGTATTCTGCTTGCAGAATTTAATATGTTTACTGAGATAGGACACCGAGCGGAAAATAAACAAGCAAACAGAACTTAACATTAGAATTAAGAAAAGATTAAATCATGTAAAAGGTTGAGCCATATTAGTGTAATTTATTCCGATATAGTTGTTATATAATCTCAAGCAAAGGTAACTGTAAAATTGGTTGGTGTTCCTTCAAAGTGGACAAGAGAGAATAATCATGACTGAACCATTCCATTAAAACAAACAGCGACCTATATTGCCATGGTCACAATATGGACGTACACAAATTTGTACCAGTGTGAAGAAGAAAGTTGTGCAGAAACTATCTTCTATTCCGGAAAAACACTGGTGTTACTTGAAAACCGCAACATAAAAATGTTTCGACCAAGAAACCAAGAAATGACGACAGGAAACTTCCCTATTGCCATGGTCATCAACTCTAGTTTAACTACCTCCCTGGTACTTTGATAAACCACTACAGTTTGAGAATACGAGGACAAGATATCTCACCCATGTTGAATTGGCTAAAAACACTGGACCTCCTGATTCAAGTTACTAAAGAGTGCTAAAATAACGTGCATGGGCAAATGATCTTTGGAAATCTCCCTGGCACGATCTGCGGGAAACATTGTCTGGTTCTAACAAGTTTCTTCTCTCAATGACGAAAACTTTTCAAACTATTATCTTTTATTGTTACTTTTTCGTTAGTTATAGCCCTTACACTGCCTAAGTTCATTCTTATTTTTGTCGCCCGGAGGCGACACTTAAAAAGAAGGGGAAAATATGTTAGGGTACATTTTTGCTCAGTCTGCTTTATTGTATGCGCTTCTCTTCGTAATCATTAGTATTTATTCAGTTTATCCTATTTATTTCGATGTTGGGCATTTTAACTTTATTAAGGGATATATAATGTATAAATAAGTTTGTTTTTAGGTCGGTTCGGAAATCAAAAGTTCCACCGTATCTCAAATATCTTTTGTTAAGAGACAAAGGATGGTGTTTACAAGCTGTCAGAACAGCTGGACACACTTTAGATTCTACTAGCAAACCTTTGCCGGTCAGTTGAGTCTTAGCCTAAAGATTTTTGCACCGACCTCTTTGGTGTTGAAATCAATCAAAAAATAGGAGTTAGACGCACGGTTAATTGTAGGAAACATCATAAGATTAGTGTGGTTTCAGTCTTTCGCAGTTAAGGGTTTAAGAGGTTTCTGAAGTTTCTGAGGTTAAGAAACACCCCTTCGAGCTTATTTAAGAAACATATAGACAAGTTCGATATTAGACAGAAATAATAACTTCCCTTGGCAGATGTATTTACCTCTGGAATGGGAAAATAAGCATTTTCTGTAAACGAAGTTCGTTTATTTAAAGCTGAAGATAGTTCTCACTTTCGCTTCCAAATTTGAATCATAATCAGATTTCCTATATCTCATTAAAATCTTTTTGGGGCCACTCGACCTTAGTTCTTTGTTCTCAGTTGGGCTATTTTCAGCTTAATTTCACTTACTTTCCTACTTTCAAATTAAGGTTTCTTTTGACAGAATCTTACGAAAATTTGGTTTCTTTCAAACCATCGTTATACCTTCTTGTATAGGAATTTGGCTATAGAGATATTTTCAGTTACGCAATTTTTTTCCCCACGCAGCTGAATTCAACCAAATTTGGTATCTTTCGTTGTTCTACGACCTCCTAACACCTATTTTTACGCATAAGAATACTATTGACCTTTCTTAGAAACTACTTAACTTAATAGTTTAGTATACACCGAATGCAAATATGGCGGATCTCTCGGTCGGCCCGGGTCTAGTTGCGCGAAAGCGAGGCTAGTGAGGCCTCGGGAGTTTTGTTTTGACTGCCCGACTTAGCGATTCAGTCAATCAATATGGTTTCCTTCGAGTTGTTAGGTGCTTAAGAGCCATCAAAGAGGAGATTTAACTCCAGCAGAGACGAAAGTTGATTATCTTCGCTTTGCCAAGGTTCTTTTACGAAGAAAGAAATGGATTCAAGCGGTTCGGCGCGGCGAATGGAGGCACTTTTCTATCACGGAGTCGAGTTAAAAGAACGAAAGTGTGGTCGCTTCACTTCAGAAGAGAAGACTCACGAAACTATTAGAATGGGCGAATAACCGAAAGATTCATGGTTCTGTTTCAAGTTTGCTTTTTCCGTTCTCCCAGTTGCCAAGGAAAGCTAAAAATATCCTCGAGAGCGAGTGAATTCACCGTCACGACTTACTAATCTTTAGGCGCTCTCAGGGACACAACGACAGACAACAAGGCCGAATGTTTTCACAGTCTTCACGATCCTATGTTCAAGAGTTTTGAGCAGTGCCATAAAAGAAGCAATTTTTGGAAAATCGCTGTTAGTTTATCTCGAAACCATTCGACAAGTTGCTAAAATAGATCACGCGCAAGGTCAAATACAATGCTCGAATAGTTGTACGCTCTTTCTCTGCCAGAAACTTTTTCCTTCTTACTTTCTTAGTTGGCAACGGTTCCTCTGTTAGTTTTTTTCAGTGCACTTTGGTCAAGGACTGTTTTTGTAATATGTCGCTTTCTTCTGGGTCTTACATAGT